GTTTTTGTTTACTGTTGTTTACTGGTGTTTACTGTTTTTGTTTACTGGTGTTGTTTTTGTTTACTGTTGTTGTTGTTTACTGGTGTTTTTGTTTACTGTTGTTGTTTACTGGTGTTGTTTGTACTTTATAGTTCTGTGGAACAGGTCTCTCCCCGCCTGTAGAAATACAGGTTGAAGGGAAAAATGGAGGCGTGCGCGCGTGTGTCTGATTGAGTCTCCATGCACTTGATGAGCGGAACTGAGACCCGGATCAGAGCTGAGGGCCAGAGTCCAGGGGCCCCAAGGTCCAATGTCAGTTTATTTTTATAGCACATAAAAGAAGAACCGCAGTGTAAGAAGTTCAGAGTGAAGGTTTGTAAAGTCGGTGGAGAAGACAAACAGTCCAGTCGGACTCTGCATGGACCACACGCCGAGGACAGACGAGTCCTGAAGTAAAGGTCTCATCGTCTCAGGTCTTCACATCATCAAGTCAACTTTATTTATAGAGCACGTTTAAAACAGAGCCTGTTATCAAAGTGCTTAACAACAACAACAACAACAACAACAACAACAATCAATGAGTAAAATTAAAGAGAAATATGTATATATATATGTATATACACACAATACACTAATAATAATAACTGAAGAATTAATAAAAACATTTAAAACATGGGGTCAGATTAAAAAACACTGATCAGGTTCCAGAGTTCAGGAGCAGCAGCTGCAAAAAGCCCCATCACCTCTGGACCAGTTTGGATCTGAGGACTTCTGGTTCTTCCACGTCTGGTTCTGAACCTCAGGACCAGACGGGCTGAGGTGGACCCACGTCTGGTTCTGAACCTCAGGCCCAGACGTGGGTCCACTTGACGAGCTACGGGCTGTGCGTTGCACGTGACGTGTTTAAACGTCTTTAATTTGCTGACATCAAAGACTGAAATTAAAAACCGTTTGAGAAAAACATTTTATTTTGAAATAAAGCTGGAAAGAGGAAAACTAAAGACGCTTTAATGTGAAAGGGTTCAGACACCTCCATGTGGTACCTGACATGTTCTTCAGGTGTTCAGCTGCTTGAAAACAGGCTCGGGTCCGATCAGCCCTTCAGGTCATGTAAAGGTTCTGGTTCTAGGTCTGAGCCGGGCCTGGTTCTGAACCCGTTCACGTTGCGTTTCCTGGAAGCTCGCCGGTGATGAGAACTCAGTTCGTCTCTCTTGGTTTTCCACCGTCGCGTCTAAAACAACATCAGGGCGTTTCCTGATGTTCAGAAACATCTGCACTGGTTCCACTCAGAGGCGTGACCTTTGACCTCAGAGTGACAGACTCAGAGTTTCCAGCTGAGCTCGTGGAGTTTCAACAGGAAGTGGCGATGTGAGCGTGCTCCGTATCTGTGTGACCTGCAGGATGCTTCCTGTCAGATCTTCGGCCCGGCCGTCCTCCTCGTCGCAGCTCGTCCTTCCTGTGAGACCACCGGAGGATGAACTGCAGCTGGATCGGACCTGGGCGGTCCGAAGGTTGAGCCCGCTCCTCGTCAGGACCGATGGCGAGTCATCAGCGGGCAGCAGTTCTGAAGAAGAGGAGGAAACGGGTCAGAACTGAGTCAGCACAAAGAGCCGCCCGGTCCCAGAGGCTGGTTCCCCCTGAAGCTTCCTCCCTGCTCAGCAGACGCCATGTTGGTTTATGGGCCGGACAGAACCCTGCAGCAAACACAACCTGGACAGGACTTAAAAGGGCCAGCACGCTGACTCAGCATTTATTCTGAGAATAATTCAGTCTGAACGCTGACTCAGCATTTATTCTGAGAATAATTCAGTCTGAACGCTGACTCAGCATTTATTCTGAGAATAATTCAGTCTGAATGCTGACTCAGCATTTATTCTGAAAATAATTCAGTCTGAACGCTGACT